CTTGTTTCACTTCGATGTTCCTCCTCCTCTGTGAAGTCTGAAGTCAACTAAAGGGCTAATGATAACTTTCACAACGCTTGCCATTTGATATATATAAATAAATAAATGCTCCATGTCAGTGACACACGTCCTAAAGTTGTATTCCACAACAGAAGTCTGTTTCCATCATATTGTTGAGGCACATTGGCTAGCTTCGGGAGCCTTTCCATTCAAAGGGATTTTTGCATGGAGATAACTGAGGCTAAAGGAAGGCTTATTTGCTTAGCAATTCGCTACACATTTCCACTCATAGCTTACTTTTGTAATAGATATTAGTTTCACTTTTCTTTCCACGCAATATTTATCCTAATTTTGACAACTAAAACATATTATTTCAGTAATTTATTTACTTTAATAGAAATATTTATTTATATCAAATGGCTGGTGTTTTGGTGGCTATCATTAGCCCTTTAGTAGACTTCAGGCTTCACAAAGGTGAAGTAGCATCAAAGTGAAAAAAGTCGAGAAGGGAGGGNCTCCACGTGGTGCACCCTGGGCAACGTATACTCACACGGCAAAAAAGTCTATTAACCGGCAATTGACTTCTGACTTCAAACTACCACGACCCCCCTGGTTGTCATATTCAACCCCCCCCCCTCAGTACTCACCTTACCTTTTTCTCTACCTTTGTGTCTGTCTGCCTCTTTTACATCTGTGAATCGCTCTTCTGTTCCCCACCCCTCGACTTTCTGCTACTTTGATGAAACTTCCCTCTGTGAAGCCCGAAGTCAGCTAAATGGCTAATGATATCTATCAAAACGCCTGCCATTTGAAATAAATAAATCATGATCAGGATGGCGGATTAGGTTAAACAAACAGAGGTTAATGATTGGTCACTGTTTGTACAGTCGCACCTCCCAATCCTGGCGTGCAGGCATGCGATGACGTGTCTCACAAATCTCATCTCTTGAATTATAGTATTAATCTTTCCACAAAATTGAAAAAAAATATATTTTAAAAATATGATTAAATATGATTTTGCACCCTTAGAAACCTAGCTCTCGGTAAAATATTGTCTAAAGAAACTTTTTAAAGTCCTACTTTATATGGGCGTGTGGGAAGTGCAGTCAATAGTTTGGGCGAATGATACATTGAAGAGGCAGTTTTCCAAAAGTCGCCTTTTTATAAAATTTCAAAAGGAAAAAAACTAGTTTTTTGCATGCAAAATCGCGATCTCACAATCAGAAGAAAATTTATGAAATATGGTGTCCAACCTTATGAGCTTGAAGAAGACATTCTTTTGTAATGCCTCGCACTTGCAATGTATTACAGTAGGGTCAAGTAGAGGAGTGTGGGAAACGTCATCGCTTAACGCGTCATCGCATGCCTGCACGGCAGGATTGGGAGTTGCGGCCATACAACTCTATGTGCAGCAACCGTACTAACAGTGGCCAATCAGTAGCCTCCGTTTGTTTAACCTAATCCGCCATCCTAATCATGATTAAGCTCCCTGCGTGTACACTTTACTCACAAGATACTTACTGAATAAACGTGCTCCATGCTACACGTCTGTTTCCTTTATAGCTGGGCTATAGCTTACCTGATTCTGGGAGTCTGGCAAGATATTGGATAATCTGCCACAGAAATTTCTGAATCAGTCAGACTTCACTAGTGTAGCAACCTGCTACAGAGTAGATCCAAGAGGACTTTTAACTAAAGGCAAAGAGAATTTACAATTAACTCGGCGGTTGTGCTATTCGAAATTTAGGCCTAAAAGGAGAGGCGTCTTGCGATGAAAAACACTAACAACCATCAAAGGAAAAAGTATCCAATGAGGACTTTCGGTGTCAACAAAAAAATTAACTTTAAGAAGATGTGGTTGAGGTGGGATTAAAGTATCGTTGTAATTCAAAGAAGAAATCTCCTTNTATATATATATAAGTACTAAAACAAAAACAACGAAGAACGCGTAAATTTAGACAATCCGTGAATGCCCAAAATTTTTCAATATTTCTCAGTGATATTTAAGCAATGGTATACAGAATTAAAGCACAATAATGGTGAGTAAATTAAAACATTTGAAGAATAAATATTTATTTGCATCAAATGGCAGGCATTTTGATAGTTATCATTAGCCCTTTAGGCTTCAAGAGGAACATCAAAGCGAAAAAAGTTCAGATGGGGGAGACAGAAGAGTGTTTCAAAGATGTGAAAGACAGACACAAAGGTAGAAAAAAGGTNGGAACAGAAGAGTTACAAAGACGAAGTTAGAAAAGGTAGAAAAAAAGGTGAGGTGAGTACTATGGTAGATGTCGAATATGACATACAATGGGGTGAGGGTAGTTTGAAGTGAGAAGTCAACTGCCGGTTAATAGACTTTTTTGCCATATGAGTATACGTTGCCCAGGGTGCACCACGTGGAGATAAGTCTATCGCACACCCCCTTAATAGCAATATTGAATTGCATTAGGATGGGAGGGGGGTATTTTGGACTAGAGACGATACAAAAGGTCATTGTCAATTAAGCTACTCCCTATTCTTTCGAATGCTTTTCCAAACTTTTCTAGTGCTTTAAGCAGTCATAAAGCTATTTAACTGTCTTTTAGATTAATCTCAAATTAGAAAAGATGCATGAGTATATTAGCTTAACATGACAGCTGTTCAAAACTAAACCTCGTTTGGCCTTGGCTCATAAAATTGGAGTATTGCAACAATTTCGGTTTTATTTATTCTATTTCAGTGCATACTTTTGTCAATAAAAGTTTAATTTCGGATTAATCAGCTATCGAAGGCCAATAATGCTAAAACTATTGTAATGACATGGCAAAATTAACATAGAGAAAGGTAGTAATTTGATTGCGTCGAATATTTAAAGTGGCTTTGAGTGACTATTGGGGTTTGATAGATTCTGATGAAAGAATAATTACCAACCTCATCGACGAAAATCACGAAGTTCACTTGATCAAACGATCTATTATATAAGAAAGAAAAGAAAAATTCATTTATATCAAATAGCAGGCTTTATGATAGTTATCATTAGCCCTTTAGTTGACTTCAGGCTTCACAGAGGGAGAGGAACATCAAAGCGAAAAAAGTTCAGATGGGGGAGACAGAAGAGTGTTTCAAAGATGTGAAAGACAGACACAAAGGTAGAAAAAAGGTGAGGTGAGTACTGTGAAAGAAGTCAAATATGACATACAGTGGGGGGTGATGGTAGTTTGAAGTGAGAAGCCAACTGCCAGTTAATAGACTTTTTTGCCGTATGAATATACGTTGCCCATGGTGCACCACGTGGAGGTAAGTCTATCGCACACCCCAANTGTGGGAAACGTCATCGCTTAACGCGTCATCGCATGCCTGCACGGCAGGATTGGGAGTTGCGGCCATACAACTCTATGTGCAGCAACCGTACTAACAGTGGCCAATCAGTAGCCTCCGTTTGTTTAACCTAATCCGCCATCCTAATCATGATTAAGCTCCCTGCGTGTACACTTTACTCACAAGATACTTACTGAATAAACGTGCTCCATGCTACACGTCTGTTTCCTTTATAGCTGGGCTATAGCTTACCTGATTCTGGGAGTCTGGCAAGATATTGGATAATCTGCCACAGAAATTTCTGAATCAGTCAGACTTCACTAGTGTAGCAACCTGCTACAGAGTAGATCCAAGAGGACTTTTAACTAAAGGCAAAGAGAATTTACAATTAACTCGGCGGTTGTGCTATTCGAAATTTAGGCCTAAAAGGAGAGGCGTCTTGCGATGAAAAACACTAACAACCATCAAAGGAAAAAGTATCCAATGAGGACTTTCGGTGTCAACAAAAAAATTAACTTTAAGAAGATGTGGTTGAGGTGGGATTAAAGTATCGTTGTAATTCAAAGAAGAAATCTCCTTGTTTCGCTAATCTTATATTTTTAATTCGATGTCTTTTTTTAATCTTCACTGTTCAAACTATGCGCAGTAAATTAAAATAAATATTTGTTCCAAGATGGTACAGAATTCATGGGAAATGGTATATATCAAATGGCAGGCGTCCTGATGGTTATCATTATCCCTTTAGTTGACTTCAGGCTTCACAGAGGGGAAGGAGCATCAAAGTGAAAAAAGTCTACAGGGGGGAGGGAAGAGAAGAGTGTTTCAAAGGTGTAAAAGAAACAGGCACGAAGGTAGAAAAAAGGTGAGGTGAGTACTCTGGAAGTAGTGGAATATGACATAGAGTAGGGTGATGGTAGTTTGGAGTGAGAAGTCAATTGCCGGTTACTAGACTCTTTTGCCGTATGAGTATAAGTTGCCCAGGGTGCACCACGTGGAGGTAAGTCTATCGCACGCTGTCCAGGGTGCACCACGTGGAGGTAAGTCTATCGCACACACCCCTCCGCTTCCAAATAAGATGTTGATAGTGAAGGCATATTTCCAGGGTGCACCACGTGGAGGTAAGTCTATCGCACACCCACTTGGCTCTCCCCTCAAATTTCAACCCTACACGGATGGGCGTCTATGAAGACATAAGTGTAGCGGATTGCTACGCTAGTAAAGCCTGACTGACTCAGAAATCTCTATGGCAGATTCCCTAAGTAAAGCCTGACTGACTTAGAAATCTCTATGGCAGATTCTCCTGACTCAGAAATCTCTTTGGCAGATTCTCCTACATCTGGACTCCCAGTATCTGTGGCAGATTCTCCTACATCTAGCTAGACTCCCAGAACGGCAGATTCTCCAACGTCTAGCTAGACTCCCAGAACCAGGGAGATTCTCCTACATCTAGCTAGACTCCCAGAACCAGCTAAACCATAGCCCAGCTATAAAGGAAACAGACGAGTAGCACGGAGAATTCTCCAACATCTAGCTAGACTCCCAGAACAAGCTAAGCTATAGGGGAAACAGACGTGAAGCAAGGAATACGTTTATTCAATACGTATATTAATAGCGAAGTGTTATGTTGGCAAAGCGATTAGTTATCAGATAACTCTAGCATGATTCGTGTGAACATTAATAGCTAAATATTTCTGAGTAATATTCTATAGCAGGATTTCTACTTGGTCATTGGTGTAATGTCTTAAAATACTCCCCTCTGTTAGATATTGTTGGTCTAATTCAGCACGGGGTGTTGGAGCATCATTTGGAATTACTTCCTCATTATCAATGCCTTTCACAGAGCTCTTTCGCTTGACAAGTTGCTGCAAATCCGCTTCTCCGAAAGTTGGTTGCTCACCATGTAGCCGACGGCTATAACGCCTTTCGTAAGGAGGAGAGGGCGAACTCTTTTGAGTACCATTTCCCACAGCTTCATGAGCATGAGAACTAGGACGCGGAGGCAGAGGGCAAGTAGAAAGAGCCTTAGCGAGGGCTTCGCCAAGTTCAGTAAGTGTGGCATTATCATCGAAAGCCTCGTCTACAGCATCTTGGAACTCGTAGGTGCGCTCATCTTGGGAATTGCATTCCAGCGCGTTTGTGCAAATTAGTTTCAAATCATTCTTAAAAGGTTCGACTGACGTGTACTCATCGTTGTCAATCTTGGTGCGAATTTGAGTAACACTCATTGGGTGTCGAATGATGCGATTATAGTCGGGCGCATCTTCTTTCGAAACTGGACGCAAGAAGGTTGTGAAGCGCCGATCGTGACAAATGTTGTTGAGGAAATCGCGCAGGGCCATACGGAAGCGTCGTAGAAGACGGTCACGATTGTAAATAGCCTTGGCCTCCTCCACTGTAACTCGTGCTTGTCGAGGCAGATCGAGAATAGAGGCGATAGTGGTCGGATCTTGAACCGGTTTGGGTGATGGTGGTCTGGGCAGACGTTTCGCAGCCGCATCCAGATCAAAACCCATTGATTCATGTGATACTCCATCTAGCCAGTCCAGGAGAGCAGACTGTAGGTATTTCCTTCGAAGCGAACAAGCAGGAGGACTCAGTGATATCTTCTCCACATACGGGAAACGTAGGATTCGTCGAAGGAGGCTATCGACTGTTATTCCACTAGAAGCAGCAATAGCAGTGGATGGAACAGGCAGAAGATTATCAGTTTGAGCTTCCACGTCACAGTGGATGGACGTGACAGAGATGTCACCGCTTTCTAAGATGAAGTTCGATTCAGAAAATTCTCGAAGACCAAGGTTGGTGGTAGTGGTGGTGACAACGTTGTTATGGAGATTGCCACTGCTACCTGGTAGTGGCGGTGATTGTTGTTCGCGAAACATAGACACGGTTTTCGGAGAAGCGTGACCGTTAAGTACAACAGAGTGTTCTTGTGAATTTGAGTTGTTGAAATACATAGGATTGTTGTTACTGATGCTATTGACAAGAGGTCGTTGATTATGAAGAGAAGTTGGAATGGTGTTGTTGGGTACCCTGACAGAAACTACGGCATTTGGAGCTTTTTGTGGAGACAAAGTCGGCAAAATGGGCCTAACCAGCTCATCTGAGGGCGGAGGTGGCAAAGCTATTGCAGTGGGCGGAAGACTCTTCACAGTGGCGACAAACACTAGACGTCTACCGAAATTGACCCCAGAGGTGATGTTCGTGGCAAGGACTCCAAGGAGCCGCTCGATGAGGTACTGGGATTGAATGGAGGAGAGTCGGTTAAGGAGTTGGTCTAAACGGGGTGCAAAAATCACAACCCCTTGGAGATTGGAGAGNTTGGGGTGTGCGATAGACTTACCTCCACGTGGTGCACCCTGGGCAACGTATACTCATACGGCACAAAAGTCTATTATCCGGCAGTTGACTTCTGACTTCAAACTACAATAACCCCACTAGATGCCATATTCTACCACTTCCACAGTAATCATCCTACCTTTTCTCTGACTTTGTGTCTGTCTCTTTTACAACTGTAAACCACTCTTCTGTTCTCCATCCCTCGACTTTCTGTTACTTTGATGTTCCTTCCGTCTGTGAAGCCCGAAGTCAGCTAAAGAATAGAAAATGATTTGGTATATTTTGGCTAGAATTAGCATTACGGAGTGAATCCTAGGGCGCTAATATGATCATTGGCAGAGTTGTAGCATTTACTGGACTTGTTGTCAGTGCTGCTTCTATTGGAGGATTAGGAACATAGTGATCTCATCCCCCAATCGTTTGTAATTGTTGTTTTCCAAGGTCATTTTTCATCTTTCACTCGTCTTATGAATTTATGACCTATCTGTGCCATATGCCATGTTGGAGATTCATTTATAACTCGATTACAATTGCGGTCTTCAATGATATATTAGGTAGATGGAGGAAAGTAACCAAAAATAGGAAAATTGAGGATTCCTCTTGGTTGAATGTAAAGCGATTCAGCTTTATTCTTAAAGGTTCAACCTCTATTTTGTCTACAAGCTGGATAGTTGACATTCACACTCGGCGATGGATCACAGTAAACAAAATTAGCATTAAAAATTCGACCCCATCTATATTCTAAAAAATTTGCACCACGTTTCATGCGAATTATTGAAATATATACCATTAAACCCATTCCATCTTTAGTGTGGCATAGACATAAAAAGACCGAAACAGATAGATATATTAATTTTCAAACTATTCTCCTACACATTAAGCTGAATTAAATAAAGAACTGTGACTTTCCAAGTAAATTAGTAGGAACTTAGGTAAGTAGAAGTGTGATAACTTATAGGAATTGCAAATCTATCACACTAACTACTTAATCATCATTATTTTGAACAAATTAGTGTTAATAGGTACAAAAGAACCGCTGAATTCATGACCAATTAGGTTAGAGGTATTTATAAAGACCCACATGAATAATGGAACTTACATAAAATGTAAATAATATGCTGTTCTTGCTTTTTTTCTATGGTAATCGAGATTATTCTAATGAATAACAGTCTGGGAAAGAGTGAGCGAAAGTATTAATCCAAGGTGATAAACATTAATACACTATGTTGAATTTTAAGTTGACTGAAAAGGTAAATAAAAGTTGACCCAAGGATATGAAGGGCATTGCTCTAAATGTTAATTCAATCGAACCAAAAGATCCACAAGTCACTAAAGTTGACATGAATAAAAAATCATTTAAAAAATTATGGTCTAGTCGCCACAAGAATTGAGATCCATTTAAATCATTGTAGAAGTTTTTAGTTTGGTATAAATCCACAATAGCCAAGTGTAATAAAAAATAACATATCTTATTAGTTTTATCTTTTTATTACTCATGAATCTATCTTTTAATCATACTAAATACCTTAAAAGTAAAGTACCGAAATGAAGGCACGATAGGTGTTAATTTTTACTAAACATATCAACAGAAATTGTACGCACTAATTTCAAATACCAAGGTCATTATAATTTAAGCTTTTTCTGAAATTACAAATCTCAAGCAAATGACCCAATCGATATTTATTCAAGGTAAAAATATTATTTTAAATGATAGCATTAGTTGGACAATGTGGAAATCAGATTGGACATCGATTTTGGGATCTGGCTTTAAGGGAGCATGCAGCTACAAACAAGGTAAACTATCGTTCGGTTAAATTCATCTTTTAAGAGTGGCCGATTTGATGATTCAATGCAGACTTTCTTTTATCCCACGAAAACTTCCGGCATAAGAGCTAGAGTATGTTGAACTTTGAGTCTAATACATTTTAGTCCATCTTAATCGATATGGAGGAAGGTGTTGTGAGGAGCCTTCTTCGAAGTCCTATAGGAGGCCTCTTTGAAAATGCTCATTTTGTCACCGATCTACCCGGATCAGGTAACAATTGGTCTGTTGGCTACTATGAACATGGCACAAAACACTCAAGAAAAATCATAGAAGCCATCAGGAAGAGCGCTGAACTATGCGATTGTCTCCAGTGTTTCTTTATTCTTCATTCAATGGGTGGGGGAACAGGCTCTGGTTTAGGGAGTTTTGTTACCGAACTTTTAGCTGATAACTTTCCAGAGGTGTTTAAGTAATTCGTTTCTTATAGCCAATCATTTCTTTAGAATCGTAACTGCGGTATTTCCTTCAATTGATGACGATGTTATTACATCTCCCTACAATACGGTTTTGGCAATTGATAAACTAACTGATCTGGCTGATTGTGTTATCTCAGTTGAAAATGGAGCCCTAGAAAATATAGTAAATAGAATCCACAAAGTTATTCAAGATGGGAAGGACAAGCATATCTCTATTTCAGGAAGTGTAATTGACGGAGCGGGTAGTATAGCCGGTGGAAAATCTCGAGCATTTGATGAAGTGAACAATATCGTCGCCAATATGCTATTAAATCTAACAAGGTGAATTTAAAATTCTTTGAATTCGAGAATTTCATGCTGGTTTTTATTTAACAAATTCAATCAATGAAGTCACTGAAAGTTGATCCGCAAATTCGTAATTTGATAAGATACCTTTTTTTCGTTTTTTAGCTCCGCAAGATATCCAGGAACCATGAATGTTGATTTAAATGAAATCAGTATGAATTTGGTGCCATTTCCAAGATTACATTATCTTATAGCTGCCCAAAGTCCATTTGAATCATATAGTAGCGTCGTCGCTCCTAGGAAGTACGCCTTAAAATAAATTAATTTGATCCCGATGTTTAGCATTGATCAAATCTTTCAGGATGTCTATTCTCGAGCTTATCAGCTTATTTCAACGAATCCTCTCGAACATACCATCCTGGCAACAGCTTTACTACTTCGTGGACCGGGTTGTGCTTCTGATATTCGAAGAAATATTGACCGGCTTCGAGAGCGTCTACGATTCGTCGATTGGAATCGCGAGGGTTGGAAAGTGGGACACTGCTATATTTCTCCTGTTGGTCAAAAAACAGGTGCTCTTTTGGCGCTTTCAAATAGTACTGCTATCACCCCGCCTTTCACTTCTCTTCGTGAACGAATGAACCGACTTTTGCGAAGAAAAGCTCATCTACACCACTATTCATTGGGTTCTAATGGCAACTTTGACGCTTTTTCGGCGTTAAATCAAGCTGATGAGTCCCTTAGCAACCTCATAAATGCTTATGAGTTCTTCAATAACAGCTGCAATAAAGAAACGTGTTTAGACGAGCGTACACCTGTAATCAAAATTGCTGAGTAAAATTCGACATTTCATAAAAATTATGCCTTAAATGTAAATATAGAAAGTTTGTGAAAATACTACTTTCGTAAAGCCTCTTACTTTAATGTATTTTAAATTTAGATCCAATTAAGAACGATGAAAAATTATTTGGAGCGATTCATTACGCCACCATCAAGTAGTCATGGTACACTCCGTTTCTTAAAATAATAAAGTACTCAAATTCATTCATCAAGTTGTAGGTATAAAATAACCGTTGATGTTACAGTTGACAAATCTCACGGGATTGACCTAGTTTTGAAAAAGCTAAGGCCATATTAGAAAATAAATAGATAACTTGACTTATGTTTTAAATAGGCTAAAGGGTTGCTAATTGTACGATGCAATAAGCCTAACCGCTTTAAAAGGATAAATGGGCTAATTTATTTATTAGCTGAATTGTATAACGCTGACTGAAAGTGAAAATTGAGAGAGAATAAAAGTTTGGGTAGACAAAAAGTTTCGAATTCAGAAAATCGTTCAAACAGATGATTGGGAATGAAAATGCCATGTTAATTATGTTCAATTATATACAAGAAAATATGATAAGAAGTCAAGTTAATTCTTTGCAGATTCTTTACTGCTACTAGTAGTAGTAGTAGTAGTACTACCAGTATTCTTGGCGGTTTGTTCCCCCATTGCCTCATTTTTGGCAGCAATTTCAGCTTCCATTTTATCAAAAGCCTCTTGAGAAATTGGATCCGCTTCGACTTGTTCTACACTCTCAACCTCAGGGATGTAGAATTGGAGCATGTTTTGCACGCCGTGCTTAAGAGTGACGATAGAGCTGGGACAACTTGTACAGGAGCCCTGCATTTTTAGATAAACTACTCCATCTTTGAAATCCTAAATATGAATATCATAATGGTTAGAAGTCTTCCTAATTTATTTCAGAAGTATGTACTTACAACATAAATAATATCACCTCCATCTTCTTGCACAGTAGGACGAATTCTGGTATCAAGAAGCTCCTTAATCATGGTGACAGTTGCATCCTCATCTTCGTCAGCTTCTACTACTGAAGTTTGCAAAATTTAATTAACAAATGTTACAATATAAGCAAGGTTACTATTAAACCAACCTTCAGGAGGCCCATTAACAACGGGCGATCCGGTCGCAAAAAAGTCCATTAAGCAAGCAAAAATATCAGGATTAAGGGTTGCCCATTCTGCATCAGTAGATTTGGTGACAGTAACAAAATCAGAACCCAATAGAACGCCGGAAACTCCATCAATATGAAACAGATTTCTGTACAAGCGGAATTTTCACGAAAGGAAACAATATTACCTGGCTAAAGGTGAGTTAACTGTGCTCTGTTTGGTTGGAAAATCCATTGTTCCATTGCCGAGAACAGACCTGCCAGGAATAAACTTACGACTGTTTGGATTTGGTGTCTCGTTCCATTGAATAAATATGAAACGGCAAGCTAAATACGTAATCAAGAAATAAATAACTCAACTAACCACTATATATTGGTAATCGTTTCGATAAATTAATAAGAGTTTTCGATATATTGAACATTTCGGTTAAAAGGCAAACTATCCCAGTTATAATTGACACAAAATCACTAATCAATTAAAAGCAATGAAAAGAATGTGAATCAATATATGCCTACAACACTTATTCAAAGAGAAATTATCATCGATTTCATTTTTGTTTATGAATCTGAAAACAATTTGTGGTGTTTCTAAAAATTAAACGTAACTGTCACAGATTTCATAATTGAAATGACAATAAATAAGCAAATACATTTTAAAATTGTAATTTTCAAGTAACCTATTTGCTAACGGTATGTTAACCTTTATAATTTTCTCCCATAAGTTTAGAAAAATAAAAAAGTTGAAATGCGTATATTATGAAAATCTCAAATCTTTAGAATTTTGAACATCAAACTTGATTCAAAAAGCGATTTTAATTCAAGTTAATTTTCTAAAGAAAAATAATTTCCGTCCTCTGTAACTGGAATGGTCGCAACAGTTTTGTCGACAGTAACTTTTCAGAATCCATATAAAATTTCTAAATAAAAATTCTCAATGTTAATTGAAGCCATTTTACGTATATCCATCTGAATAGCTTATTTTTTACAATAGGCCTTATTTTGATCCATTCAAATTCAATTTCATCTACCATCATGTAATTTTATTTTGAGCTTAATGATTTTGGCTCATTCAAGCTCTAGTGTTCTAATTTATACGGATCTGCCCATACCTATCGAAAATTTGACATTAAAAAATAAAATGATATTTTTGATAGCAGACTAAGTAAAAGGGTCAAATAAAGTTCTAAGTTTGAGCACTATGGCTTTTTGGAGCATAACTGCTCGAGACTCGGTGTAATAGGAACAGTTTGTATTTCGAGCATAAAATAACGTTCTATTGTTTGAATTTGCATTATTTTTCAAGAATTGGAAGAAATTAATAAATAAATTTTTCAGCAATATAATACAGTATTTACAACAATTAAATGGAAGTTATATAGATTGATTTGAATCTCAAATTCTTCTCCTATTACATTTAATCCATGTATTAATTTCCATTTTATTGTACGGATAAATTTTGCATATTTAAAAATGTCTTGCCATTTCTTGTGATTAAAGTAGCCAAATTTCCATTGATAACTTTTCAATTCGCTTTCTCAGGTAGAGCCAAGTGTCCACCTGCCTTTCAATGAAATTCAATTAGTAATGGATCTTCTGCTAAAAATAAAAGGCGATCATTTAATTTTAGCTACATGGTAAAATTATTTTAAAATTCTTTTGAGCAAGAACTTAGGAGGATCTACGGTAAATGTTCACTCTCGTACACATCAGGTCTTGAAATATCAGATTGTTAACTAATAGAAGCCTATTTTCTGACTTTTGCAAAAGTGCTAATTTTCTACTTTAAAATAATGGGGGAATTGTGCTTGATTAATTTGTAAAAATATAATTTTATAGCTGTTCAATATTTATGAATGACTTTTCAAGGTACTCTCTGTTAAAATGTCCAATGAAGAATAAAGTAATGATTTATCAATTGAATTGGTCAAAGTTTGAATACTTAAAATTAAGTAGATCTTCACAAAGCATTGCACCAAATGAGGCAATCAGACGGATTCTTGATGGAGGTACCTGTTTGAAAATTATGATTTTTGTAAAAATATGTTAATCAAATATTGATTTTGACGCAAAATTTGATCCCAAAAGTCAGATAAATATATTTATTCATGAATTAACTGTTCTAGTAGTTATTTTTTGAGCTCAAATTTTTACAACCATTTTGCGTTTTAGTTAATTTAGTCGATCGTAAAATCACGCGTTTCTTTCAAATTATTCTTCCTACTGGTAGTTACTAATTGTGAGTTCTTCCGTGTTCTTGGGTGTATTAGTTTGTTGTCAAAGTGTTCTAATTTTGTTTAAGTACTGAACTCTTCTGTTGAAAAATTAATGAAAGATCAACAACTGTCTACTATATATAGCTTTTTTCTAATTTAGCTCTTGTATATATCGTCATTAATCAATAATGACTAGTAATGGCGGCGGAAAGATGCGCATTAAGAGCTTTCCCGTTACTCTCAATGAACAACATATTGCTCAAACATGGGATAAACTGAAATCGGCCATTTTGGAAATTCAGAAAATGAATAATAATGGCTTAAGCTTTGAAGAACTCTATCGAAACGCATATACTTTGGTTTTACAGCGGCATGGGGATTTACTTTATAATGGAACGAAGCAAGTTGTAATGCAACATATGCTGCGTATTCGCGAATCTGTTGTTGAGAATCTTAACAACAAGTTTCTCTCTTACCTAAATAGCTGTTGGAAGGATCATCAGACAGCTATGCCAATGATTCGTGATATCTTACTTTATATGGACCGTATTTATGTGGCACAGAAAAAGTTAGACAGTATTTATAAAATGGGAATGATGATGTTTTGCCAATATGTCGTCCGTTACGATATAATAAAAGAACATCTTCAAAAAACTTTGCTTGACATGGTGAAACGTGAGCGTCAAGGTGAGCTTATCTCTAGGCCACAAATTCGTGATGCTTGCCAGATGTTAGTTGAACTGGGTGTCGGTTCTCTAGACGTTTATACAGAGGATTTTGAGCAACCCTTCCTTCAGCAAACCCAGGAATTTTATGTCGCCGAAAGTGAGGCCTTCTTAGCTCAAAATCCCTCTGCTATTCTTTACATCAACAAAGTTGAACAAAGAATTGAAGAGGAAATGGCACGAGTTTATCATTATCTGGACGAGTCTACGGGTCCAAAACTTGTGAAAGTTCTGGAGCAGGAATTAATTAGTCGTCATATCAACACAATAGTAAACACCGATAACTGCGGTCTTACTTATCTTCTAGCAAATGAACGTTATAGTGATGTAACAACCATGTTCAAGGTATTATCTCGAGTACCGGAAGGCCCTAAAGCAATGAGCCAGTGCATAAGTGCTTTTGTTCGAGAACGAGGTCTAAATATCGTTCGTGATACGGGAAGTAATAACCCCCTTCAATATGTCCAAGATTTACTTCAACTTCGCGCGCGATGTGATGATATCCTAAAGTCTTTGAATAATGAAACCATCTTCCGTACGCAATTGAACTTGGATTTTGAGTTCTTTATTAATAAAAACCCCAAATCTGCTGAGTTTCTATCTCTCTTTATTGATGAGAAGTTGCGTCGTGGTTTTAAGGGAATGTCTGATCATGAAGTAGATAACATATTCGATCAGTGCACTGTTCTTTTCCGCTACATTCAAGATAAGGACGTATTTGAACGCTACTATAAACAACACTTGGCTAAGAGATTACTTCTGGGTAAATGTCAATCTGATGACCAGGAAAAGAGTATGATTGCCAAGTTGATGGCTGAATGTGGTGGTCTGTTTACAAGCAAACTTGAGGGAATGTTCAAGGATATGGCTGTCTCGAGTTCTCTGATGGAGGAATTTATGGCCCGGAATGAGATGCCTAGTCTTGGGCTGGAACTCTACGTCCGAGTACTGACCATTGGTCTCTGGCCCACTCAAAGTAGCAGTCCTCGTGTTTCTCTACCGGCTGAAGCTGTTCATGCCTTCAATGTCTACTCTGAGTAAGTCAATTTATTGCCTAGACTCTAAATTTTGATTGGAATTGCTATCTAATTAGGTCTTATTTCAATTAAAGTGGTTTTTAATGACCTTCGCAGTATGTCATCGAATATACATGCCATTATTTAAGAAGAGCCTTGAATGCCTGCGGCAAAAATTTTCACATTGGTGTTTTTTTAATACCTTGGCTTTTAGCTGTACTCTTAGCGCTATGTGTCTGTATTATTAGTAGAACAACACGAAAGTTGCCGTTTAAACATGAAAGTATTTGAGGTTGATTCACGAGGTTTTTTTGCTGTATTCCATTTCGATGATTCAAGTGTTTTCTAGTCGAACCAGACTGCGCCGTTGGTGCTCGAGCTGATTTTTGCTGTGTAACAATATTCTTTTAAGTTAATTGTCTTGTACTATCGCCCTTTTTACGGGTTCTTGTTTTGGTCTATCATCAAAATAAATCACGCTTAATAATCAAAAAATGTATGAAAAATGGAACCCATGTTCTAAATTTGTGTGAGAACACAAAATTATTAAGTTGATGCAATTCTTCATTCAGGATGAGCCAAATATTAATTTATTTCAAATGGCAAGCGTTTTGAAAGTTATCATTAGCCCTTTAGCTGACTTCGGGCTTCACAGAGGGAAGGAACATCAAAATAACAAAGTTGAAGGGTGGGGAACAGAAGAGTTATTCACAGATGTAAAAGAGACAGACAGATACAAAGGTAGAGGAGTGAGATAAGTACTGTGGAAGTGGTCGGTCATGGTAGTTTGAAGTTAGAAATCAACTGCCGGTTAATGGACTTTTTGCCGTATGAGTATAAGTTTCCCAGGGTGCACCACGTGGGGGTAAGTCTATTGCACTCTCCTGGGTGAGCCAAATATTTATTTATTTCAAATGGCAGGCTTTATGATATTTATCATTAGCCCCTT